GAGGCCCCCCCCCCCCCCCCCCGCCCCTTCCTCCCGCAGGCGCCCCGGGTGATCGCCCGCCCCTAGAAACGGCTCTGAATGATATCTATTCATCGATGGATGCCTAAGGACAGCCTTAATTTTTTCTTATTGCCATTGAGAATCCGTTTCTAAGCCCTTTCACATTGTTTTTTTTTTTCTTTTTCTTCGTTCTACGCGGTGTTCTTTGGACATCGGCACCGGCCGATAAGAAACCTGTCGATGGTGACAGGGCCACCCAGAGGGGGGGGGGGGGCAAATGGGGCAATTTGCCCCGGGCCCCGGGTATCAAGGGGTCCTAAGGAAGGCCTCAAGGGGTCTCCGGTTTAATTTTGCCCCGGGCCCCTGGAAACCTCTGGGTGGCCCTTGATGGTGCCATACCGGCGGTTGCCGAAACATCCCTACGGCCCTAGATTCAAGCGACGCCCGAGTAAATAATTCACTTTAGGTTCACCTTAAGAGGTAAAATTCCCAGGGCAAGTTAAAAATTCAATAACTTAAGCCTCCCTACTAAAGAGAAAGACAGGAATATAGGGAGGGGGATTAACCGATGTACGTTTTGAAATCAAGGGAGTATAAGAACTGCCTACTTTCACAGCATGCACCTCATGAGATCGAGCCGAAGACTGAAAGAGAAAAAAATATTCTGTGTGCCCTCCCTCTCCTTTTCCCACTTCCTGTCTCTGATTTCATGCATTTTTTAAAATCCTTCCTTCTTTTATATAGTCAGTCCCAGCATTTCCAGAAATTGATCATGATAGGAAATTGCTCGCCCATGCGGGTCACGCTGCCCCTTTCCCCGCCCGGACTGTATTGTAATGTACTCATCTCAATCCAATGGGACATTTCCCATCAAACATTTTGCGCATATATCGCGATGGTCGAAAAAACTATCGATTCTTCCAATCATCGATAGTGGTATCGATGCATCGACCTATCGTGACAGCTCTACTTGATACCCAATGGAAAAGGTTGGGGGGGCATCTGCCCGATTATGAAACTGCCATCAAACTCACCGGTACACTGGTAGGAGGCTGTACGGCAGGACATGAAATATCATTACTAATTTTAATTTTTCTATCGTCCCTATTAGTACTAGTTTGCATAAAGTGGACGCTAACCACATAAAAAAGGCTGTTTCATTATTGTGTTTCTTTCCGCGGCGCTCCGGACGATCGCCCGCTTCGCCCACCCCTAGAAACGGCCCTGTACACAGTAACGATAGACGAAGAAAGCTGAGACTTTACCTTTGACGCGAGGAGAGCCGTGGACTCCGAGTCCGACATGGTGTCACGGCGAATGGGTCGCAGACAGACTGGGGATACTAACCCGATGGGACCCCGAGGGCTCAAAAGGGGGAGACGCAGATGCTACGATACGCAGAGGAACCGTGCGCTCTGTCGGTTCGAGTAGGTTATTCAAGGAACTGGGGGCTGTGATGAGTATCAGTGACGCCAGTCGAGGAAAGGCTTCGGAGGAGACGTTATACGAGGCAGGTTCCCCGATGCACAAGGACGCGGATATGAAGAGGGATCCTTCAATCTCAGCGGTCCAACGAATCGGGAACACGACGAAAGTTGCAACTTCGGGACGAAATACTTGATGTTCTCGAATCCATCGTCACGATCGTCCCAGAAACTCGATGTGGATTCCATCCAGGCAGAAAAAGTAATCACCCTTGTAATGATAAACTTACCTCCTCTCGAGAATAGGCGCCTGTCTTCGTGTCATCGACTCGTACGAAGTTGGGTCGCTTATGCCTTCCCCCTGACTTCGTCGTGCGCGCAGTGCTGGGGCCCGTTCTGTAGATTTTAATATTACTAGCTTCAAGGCAAGAGCGTATAAACGTAGTGCCTGTATTTACAAGGGTCGTGGTTTATTTTTACTTAGCCCTTCCAGCAGGTCCCCCTAACCCTCGACATGATCAAGGCACGACCCTCCTAAATTCATATGGTACATTTGAAGGTTGTAAACGTTCCACGGAGCAGGCCCCTGGGGTCCGTCCCATCACCACTATTCCCGGTCGCTATGGCTGGGACGTGAAGAAACTCGTCGGTGTTTTTCGATCGTTCGAGGCTTGGGTTTCAATGTCACCTTATGGCAGCGGCGGCTTGTAATCTGCAGCTGTTGTAACTCATCAACAGAAACAGAGGCCTGGGCCTCTACGACAACTATCAATACTTATCGCGAGCAGCCACTGCCGTGTGGAGTCGCGATGCGATTCCTTCCATCGTTTGGCCAGCTTCGTTTTTTTTTCTGTGAAAATTGAGATACAGTGTAATTTGGTCCGGGTTAAACCAAGAACACCCGTAACCTCTACACACGTGACCTCGAATGAACTGAACCAAAGGAGCCATTTTCGAAGCTGCAAGACATAGACAAATCTGACTTTCTATGGTGTCACTTCAGATTGGAATTGATGGTTTGCGAGTTGGAGGCACCCAGTCGGGAACAGGACAGGGGGCATTATGAAAAAGGAAGCTGAGATTTTCCAAATGCGAAACTATAGTACGAGAGGGGGGAGGGGGGGGGGGTTAGAAAAGTTCGTGCACTTTATTTTTTACACTTAGAACTGTAGCACTCGAGTGACTAATCATCTTCCATTCTTGGATGCCTAATGAGTTCCCAGGAATAATGGAAAAACAATATTAATTCTTCTATCGTCCATTCGTCATTCAGTGGCGTTCAAAAGGTATCATTCCTTTCTCACACCACCGTCCTTCTCGTCTACCCGGTACACTAACGCCACTGAATGACGAATGGACGATAGAAGAATTAATATTGTTTTTCCATTATTCCTGGGAACTCATTAGGCATCCAAGAATGGAAGATGATTAGTCACTCGAGTGCTACGTTTCGATGAAGGTTCTCACTTCAAGTGTGATGGATGAACTACTCTCGATAGAAATTATTTTTAAAATTATCGTCGTCTCTTGGTGTCAGAAGGGATCACTGACGCTCATATTAACCCTTTGATTGGAATTTCCCCCTCATATTCTGGCATGGACGTCGCCCAGGCACATACGAGAAGATATTGCAGTCTCGGCCATCTGCCAAGGAACAGGTCAACTTCTAGCCCTAAGTACACGTATTTGGAGGTTTCAAGGAACCACCCAAACTGCTACCCTTCCCTGGACGTTTCTAGTGGCCCTCTCTAAGAATTACCTCATAGATTACGAACTGCAAATGATATATTTTTCTTACTCTTACCTTCAGGACACTGTGTTATGTGTACGTATTGTAGCTGAGAAACATGGAGGAATTGCGTAGTGACACCAATGCCCAAGTCAGCATCATTCCCACAGAATAGTTGCAGAAAGTGTGTCGTTCGATTCCGGACAGGTGTCGATCGAGCATCGTTGAAAAGAGAGTATTTTCAGCTTCTCAGGAATTAGATATCTGCCTGTCGAGAAGGAGGTGCTCCTTTTAACGAGGTAATTCGTATCATTTTGGGGCCTTCGTTTCTCTCCCTGTAAGCATGAGTTTGGTGGTAATAAACTTATGAATCACCCGGTTTACTAAGTACATCCCAGGCTCTAATATTCCTTTTTATATTGCATAATTCCATAAGAAGTGCTAGGAGTATCACTTCAACTTGTCACAAGAGGAGAGTCACCACTCGTCACACACAAATTATGCTACGAAGTGTGGCTCGATCATTCGTCTAGTTGTAAGGCATCAACGTCGCTTTTCATCGCTTGCGAGACTGAAAATTTGAGCAGATTTCCTTGTAGGCTGTCTGAGGTCAAAATCATTCAAGTTCAAG